TTGGTACTTTAATGGAGTCATTGCTGACTCATTCTACCGTTCAGTTAGGCCGGTTGCTTCTGGGTGATGGGGAAGATAGTAAGATTCTATAAGATTCCATAGGCAGGAGCCCATTGCTGCACTTCCTTCACTTTCAAATGATTTTTTTTTTTTTTTTTTTTAAATAAGGTCTTGGTCTGTCACTCAGGCTGGGGTGCAGTGGCACCAACATAGCTCACTGAAACCTTGATCTCCTCGGCCAAAGTGATCCTCTCAACTCAGCTTCTTAAGTAACTGGGACACTACAGGTGCGTCCCATTATGCTCGCTTAATTTTTTTGGTATTGTTAGTAGAGACAGGGTCTCACTATGTTGCCCAAACTGGTCTCAAACTCATGGTCTCAAGTGATGCTCCCACCTCAGCCTCCCAAAGTGCTGGGATTACAGGTGTGAGCCACCGCACCCAGCCTCAGATGGATTTCTTGTTCTGAGGCAATGCTGTGTGGAATGCCATGATGGTGGATGAGCATGCTTTGAGTCTGCAGATGGTGGTGACAACAAACACATTAAAGGCAGGGAAGGAAGTTCATGTTCCGGATATCTGTCTATTCCAGTGAGGACAAATCTTTGCCCTCTTCATGACAGAAGAGGTCCAAGGTAATCAACTCGCCACCAGGTAGCAGGCTGATCCCCAGGGAATGGTGCCATATTGGGGCTCAGTGTTGGTCTCTGGTGTTGGCAGATTAGGCACTCAGCAGTAACAGTAGCCAGGACAGCCATGGCAAGGGAAAGCTGATGTTGCTGAACCCATGCATAGCATCCATCTTTGCCACTATGACCACTTTGTTCATGGACTCATTGAGCAAGCATTAGGGTGGCTGGGAAAAGAGCCTGACTCTCATGTACACAAGTGTCATCTTGTCTGCCTGATCATTAAGAATTTTTGGGCCAGGCACAGTGGCTCACGCCTGTAATCCCAGCACTTTGGGAGACCGAGGCGGGTGAATCATGAGGTCAGGAGATGGAGACCATCCTGGCCAACACGGTGAAACCCCGTCTCTACTGAAAATACAGAAAATTAGCCGGGCGTGGTGGCAGGTGCCTGTAGTCCCAGCTACTTGGGAGACTGAGGCAGGAGAATGGCGTGAACCTGGGAGGCGGAGCTTGCAGTGAGCCGAGATTGTAGCACCGCACTCTAGCCTGGGCGACAGAGCGAGACTCTGTCTCAAAAAAACAAAAATTTTTGGCTGGGTGCGGTGGCTCACGCCTGTAATCCTAGCACTTTGGGAGACTGAGGCGGGTGGATTGCCTGAGGTCAGGAGTTTGAGACCAGCCTGGCCAACATGATGAAACCCTGTCTCTACTAAAAATACAAAAATTAGCCACGTGTGGTGGCAGGCGCCTGTAGTCCTAGCTACTTGGGAGATTGAGTTGGGAGAATCACTTCAACCTGAGAGGCAGAGGTTGCAGTGAGCCAAGATTGTGCCATTGTACTCCAACCTGGGCAACAGAGGAAGATTCCATCTCAAAAAAAAGGAATTTTCATTGCAGTGGCTGCCTTTGGGTGGGCACCCCTATAGGACACAAATATCTTCACAGTCTGTGCAGAGTCTGAGAGGCCCATCCATATACTTCTCCAAGCTTCCTTGTCATTAATCTTTCAGTCTTCTTCCTTCCACGTACTTGACCATCCACCCAAACCATTAGCAACTGCCCATAAATTAGTATGGATCTATACTTCCGGCCACTTCTCCCTGCAGGCATACTGGACAACTAAATGTGCAGCATGAAATTCTTTTTTTTTGAGAAGAGTCTCGCTCTGTTGCTCAGGCAGGGTTCAGTGGCACAATCTCAGCTCACTGCAACCTCCACCTCCCGGGTTGAAGCGATTCTCCCGCCTCAGCCTCCGAGGTAGCTGGGACTACAGGTGTGCACCACCACACCCAACCTGCATGAAGTTCTGACCACTGCCCTTCAGGTTCATCCCTAAGGGAGGTTGTAATGCTGCCATTGTCCACTTTTGAGTGGTACCAGCATGATGTACAGACTAGCTGTAAGCTGGGCTCAAGTTTCTTTTCTTTTCTTTTTTTTTTGAAATGGAGTCTCGCTTTGTTGCCAGGCTGGAGTTCAGTGGCACAATCTCTGCTCACTGCAACCTCTGCCTCCTGGGTTCAAGTGATTCTCCTGTCTCAGGCCTCTTGAGTAACTGGGATTACAGGCGCCTGCCACCACGCCTGGCTAATTTTTTTTGTATTTTTAGTAGAGACAGGGTTTCATCATGTTGGCCAGATTGGTCTCGAACTCCTGACCTCAGGTGATCCACCCGCCTCAGCCTCCTGTAGTGCAGGGATTACAGGCGTGAGCCACTGTGCCCGGCCTGTTTTCTTGTTTTTTTGTTTGTTTTTGAAACAGTTTCACTCTGTTTCCCAGGCTGGAGTGCAGTGGTGCGGCCGTGGCTCACTGCAACCTCCACCTCCCAGGTTCAAGCAATTCTCCTACCTCAGCCTCCCGAGCAGCTGGGATTACAGGCATGTGCCACCATGCCTGGCTAATTTTTGTATTATTAATAAAGATGGGGTTTCACTATGTTGGCCAGGCTGGTCTCAAACTCCTGGCCTCCAGTGATCCACCCACCTCGGCCTTCCAAAGTGCTGGGAATTACAGGGGTGAGGACACCGCACCTGGCCGTGTTTTTTAATACAACAAAAGCTACTTGACAGAGGGTCATGCATTTCTACTTCACCAAAGTCCCCACCAACCCCTACTGTCTTCCATCTATTTCACTTATTCCTATTTCTTGCCTGGTCTGTAGGCATTTGAGTTTGCCACTCATGGATAGGGTCTGGCGTGGCAACTGCCTGGAACTTCAGCACTGCTCCCTACCATCCCTTCAATCCCAATTCCTGGGAGGGAATCCCAGGTCTCATTCTACCCACTTCTCCTGCTCCCCAGCACCTTCCCCGGGTCCTGCCCACCATCATCTCGATTCTGGCTCACTGCATCCGCCTCTTCTCTGTTCTCCGTGTATACAGCTGTAATCATTATCTAGTTAATTGCTTCAACTCAAGAGAGTAATAAAATTTCTCTTATCTCAACACAAAGTCTTTGGTTACAGCCTGGACAAAGTTCCTGGATTAAACTCCAAGGTGCCAGGAGGTCTGGAACAGTATGTCCATGTCAAAAGCAATGAAGCAGCTGGCACAGCGGCTCACGCCTGTAATCCCAGCCTGAGCGACCAGAGCGAGTCCCTGTCTCTAAACCAAACAACAAAAACTGCTGCTGCCATAGCACAGGTCTCATTTAGGAATGGTTTTGTCAACTTGCGGGACAAATGAGCTCAAACTCAGTATAAAGGGCCAGCTGGGGATGTCATCTCTGCTCCTCTGTATCGGTTTACATGAATCTTAGCTTCTAGAACAAAAAAGCACAGACATACGTGGTTTAAAGAACACAGAATCGCCGGGCGTGGTGGCTCACGCCTGTAATCCCAGCACTTTGGGAAGCTGAGGCAGACGGATCACTTGAGGTCAGGAGTTCAAAACCAGCCTGGCTAACATGGTGAAATCCCATCTCTACTAGAAATACAAAAATAATAGCCCGGTGTGGTGGTGGGTGCCTATAATCCTAGCTACTCAGGAGGCTGAGGCAGGAGAATTGCTTGAACCTGGGAGGCGGTGGTTGCAGTGAGCTGAGATCGAGCCAAATAAATAAATAAATACACAGATTTTACATACCAACAGATCTCAATATAGAGATCTTATTTCGATCTTGAGCTAAACTAATATTTTTAAATTTATGCCTTTTTTTTTTTTTTTTTTCAAGACAAGGTTTCACTTCAGCCTGGGTGACAGAGTGAAACTGTGTCTCAAGAGAAAAAAAAAAAAAAGTCCTTATATTTTAGAAACACATAAATACGGCCGGGCGCGGTGGCTCAAGTAGAGAGGTGAAACCCCGCCTCTACTAAAAAAATACAAAAAACTAGCCGGGCGAGGTGGCGGGCGCCTGTAGTCCCAGCTACTCGGGAGGCTGAGACAGGAGAATGGCGTAAACCCGGGAGGCGGAGCTTGCAGTGAGCTGAGATCCGGCCACTGTACTCCAGCCTGGGTGACAGAGCCAGACTCCGTCTCAAAAAAAAAAAAAAAGAAACACATAAATACACATTCAATTTTTTTTGTTGTTGGAATGCTATAACATATAATGTTTATTATTTATTTTTTTGAGACGGAGTCTTGCTCTGTCATCAAGGCTGGAGTGCAGTGGCACGATCTCGGCTCACTGCAACCTCCCCCTCCCAGGTTCAAGAGATTCTCCTGCCTCAGCCTCCCAAGTAGCTGAGATTACAGGCGCCTGCAACCACGCCCGGCTAATTTTTGTATTTTTAGTAGAGATGGGGTTTTGCCACCGTGACCAGGCTGGTCTCGAACTCCTGAATTCAGGTGATCTGCCAGCCTCAGCCTCCCAAAGTGCTGGGATTACAGGCGTGAGCCACAGTGCCCGGCTACACAGTTCAAAACAATACGTATTTATTATCTCAGTTTCCGTGGGTGGAGAATGGGTGGATGGTTCACACAGCGGGTGGGAAGCCCGCAGGAGTTGCGGGTTGTGATTGGGAACGGGGCCTGCCCTTGGGCGGCCTTCGGGGTCCAGAACTTGGCTTCGGTGCCGCTCTGCTGCCATCTTGTGGCGAGTACAGAAACAACCGCCGTTTCCACCTGGACCTTCCCATACTCTAACCATTCTTGATGTTTTAGAACTTGCTTTTCAAAATTTTTAGCTTTTATTCTCCCAGTTGCTGAATAGATGATAAAGTCACATGGTTTAAAATTCATGAGGATAAACAGGGTATTCCTCTCCCTGGGGACTCTAGGTTTCTTTCCGGGGAAACTATTCTATGTTGTTTCTTTTCCTTTCTTTCTTTTTCTTTTTTTTTTTTTTTTTTGTGAGGCAGAGTCCCACTCTGTTGCCCAGGCTGGAGTGCAGTGGCGCGATCTCGACTCACGGCAACCTCCACCTCCCGGGTTCAAGCGATTCTCCTGCCTCAGCCTCCTGAGCAGCTGGGATTACAGGTGTGTACCACAATGCCTGGCTAATTTTTTTTGTTTGGTTGGTTTTTTTGTATTTTTAGTAGAGAAGGAAGTTTTACCATGTTGGTCAGGTTGGTCTTGAACCCCTGACCTCAGGTTTTCCACCTGCCTTGGCCTCCCAAAGTGCTGGGATTACAGGCGTGGGCCACCGCGCACGGCCACTTATTTGTTTCTTGTGTATCCGTCTGGAAAAAGTTCATGTATATACAAAAGCAAACAACACACACATACACGACCAACAACAACAAGAACACCCCCCAAAACATGCCCAGCCTTTCCCAGTAATAAAAGGATAATTTGTTCCTGGCCAGGTGAGGTGGCTCACACCTGTAATCCCAGCACTTTGGGAGGCTGAGGCAGGAGGGCCACTGAAGGCCAGGAATTGGAGACCAGCTTAGGGAATATAGTGAGATCCCTTTTCAACAAAAATAAAAATAAAAAAATTAGCTGAGTGTGGTGGCCCACGCCTGTGGTCCCAGCTACTGGGAAAGGCTGAGGTGGGAGAATCACTTAAGCCTGAGAGGCGGAGGTTGCAGTGAGCCAGGATTGCACCACTGCACTCCACCCTGCATAGTAAAGTGAGACCCTGTCTCAAAAATAAAAAATAAAAAAAAAGGTTATGATCCCACCAGCATCTAAGCTACATGAATGCATGGAGTTTTTCAGTCTTGTTTCCTGGTGATCTCCAGTGTCTGGAACAGTGCCTGGCACACAGTAGGTGCTCAGGAAATATATTTCAGTTCGTAATCATGGGAAATGTCAAACACACAAAAACACAGCAAGTAGAATAATGAACTCCCCATTCCTATCACCGAGCCTCAGCAAACTTGCCTCATCTACACCTCACCCACCTTTTCCCCTCAATGGATTTTTAAATCAAAGCCAAGGCATCATCATATCCTTTCATCCATGAATACTTCAAATTGTATCTCTAAGAGACAACTCCATATCACACCTAAGCAGTTAACAAGAATTCCTTAATACAACTAAATATCCAGTCAGGGTTCGATACCCATTTTTTTCCATTGGGTCATATATATTTTTTGTTTGTTCAAAACATAAATATATTATTTGTTCAAATCAGAATCAATAAATACTGTTCCAGGCATAGTGGCATATGACTATAGTCCCAGCCACTCAGGAGGCTGAGGCAGGAGGATTTTTTTTTTTTTTTTTTTGAGATAGGGTTTTGCTCTGTTCCCCAGGCTGGAGTTTAGTGGTGCAATCGTAGCTCACTGCAGCCTTGATGTCCAGGCTCGAGGGATCTTCCCAGCTCAGCCTCCCTAGTAACTTGGACTACAGGTGCGCATCACCATGCCTAGCTAATTTTTTTATTTTTACTTTTGTAGATATGGGGATCTCACTATGTTGCCCAGGCTGGTCTTAAACTCCCAGGCTCAAGTGATCCTCCTGTCTCGGCCTCCTAAAGTGCTGAGATTACAGGTGTGAGCCACTGTGCCTGGTCAAATATGACTTCTTCTTCTTCTTTTTTTTTTTTTTTAGACAGTCTCACTCCATTACCCAGGCTGGAACACAGTGTTTCAATCTTGGCTCACTGCAACCTCTGCCTCCTGGGTCAAACAATTCTTGTGCTTCAGCATCCTGAGTAGCTGGAATTTTACAGGTGTGTGTCACCATTCTCGGCTAATTTTTGTATTTTTAGTAGAGACAGGGTTTCGCCATGTCGGCTGGCTGGTCTCGAACTCCTGACCTCAGGTGATCTGCCTGGCTCAGCCTCCCAAAGTGCTGGGATTACTGGTGTGAGCCACCGCATGTGCCCAAATGTGACTTCTTGAAGCTCTCCCTTACCTCAAAGAACAGAGCCTGGCTCTTCCATTCTGGGAGTAAGCACAGGTCTATCGTTGCCTTCAGTTGCCTTCAAGACCACTGCGGTCCTGTTCCAGTCACTTTAGGGGATTGCGTCTTTGGCCACCTCTAAGAGTCCTTGAACAGTCTCAGCTCGCTGCTTAGGTTGAATGATCAAAGCAGAAAGTCCTGGCTTCACTGAACCAAAAATGTCCCTTCCAGAATTGGAAGCTGTTCTGGTGTTTTCTGCACAAAAGTGTAAACATAGATTCAAGTTCCAGTGCTTTCTGCATCCAACAGAATTCCACACAAGGCCCTGACTCTGACCTCGATGGAGTGCATGGAAGACAGGAAGATAAACCCAGCCTGCTGCAAACACAGGTTACCATCAGCATGAAAAAGTTACACCCCATGAAGTGGCCATTCTCTTCTCAAGACGTGGTGAGTCGAGGCCCTTCTTGCAGAAGCACAGCTGCACACACACACACACACATACATATATATATATATATTTTTTTTTTTGAGACGTTCTTGGTCTATTGCCCAGGCTGAAATGCAGTGGTGCAATCTCAGCCTTCTGGTTTCAAGCAGTCCTCCCGCCTCAGCCTCCTGAGTTGCTGGGACTACAGGTGCATACCAGCACGTCTGGCTAATTTTTGTATTTTTTGTAGAGATGAGGTTTTACTGTGTTGCCCACGCTGGTCTTGAACTCCTGGGCTCAAGCTATTTGCCTACCTCAGCCTCCCAAAGTGCTGGGATTACAGACATAAGCTATCATGCCTGGCCAAATTCCTTATCTTTCTCTCTTTTGTTTTTTTTTTTTTTTTTGAGACAGGGTCTCACTCTTGCCCAGGTTGGAGTGCAAGAGACAGGATCATAGCTTACAGCAGCTTTAAACTCCTGGGCTCAAGTGATCCTCCCTCCTCAGCCTCCTGAGTACTGCTGGGACTACAGGTGTGCCACTACACTTGGCCAATTTTTAAATTTTTTGGAGATAGTGTCTTGCTATGTTGCCCAGGTTGGTCTCAACTCCTGGCCTCAAGTGATCCTTCCACTGGCCCCTCCCAAAATGCTGGGATTATAGGAATGAGACACCACACCTGGCCTTCTTATTATTCTTTTTCCTTTTTTTTTTTTTTTTTTAAGATAGAGTCTCGCTCTGTCACCCAGGCTGGAGTGCAGTGCTGCAGTCTTGGCTCACTGCAGCTTCCGCTTCCCAGGTTCAAGTGATTCTCTTGCCTCAGCCTCCCGAGAAGGTGGGATTACAGGTGCACGCCACCACCCCTGGCTAATTCTGAATTTTTAGTAGAGACAGGGTTTTACCATGTTGGCCAGGCTGGTCTTGAACTCCTGACCTTGGGTAATCTGCCCACCTTGGCCTCCCAAAGTGCTGGGATTACAGGTGTGAGTCACTGCACCCGGTCCCTTCTCTCTTAAAGTAGGAAAAAAAAAAAAAAAGCCAGTCACCAGAGACATAAATGGCAATGCATGCATCAGGCATGGTGCTAGGAACTTTATACACATGTAATCCTTTCAAAAAATAGCTCTTTTAAGTAAAAAAATATGACCCCTCCCCATATTAAATGAACAAATGATATGAACATACAAGTAATTTATTCAATTAACAAATATTTATTGAGCACCTACTATGTTTCAGGCACTGTGCTAAAATCAATTCCGATGGTCAACAAATATGCGAACAAATGGTAACTTTATCATTATTGAAGGAATGCAAATGTAAACAAAAGTGACTTTTCCATTTTTCAGCTGTTCAATGGTCTATGTTCAAAATAAATGATTCTCCATGATTGGATGAGCATGGCTTTGGGATCTCTTCTACAGTAGGTAGATACACAGGTGCATAATCTTCCTGAAGGCACTTGAGCAATGTCTATAGAATGGCTTAAAATATATACACATCTTAAACATGGCCAACCAGGAGCAGGAAGCACTCCTAACAACCTGATTGTGGTTTCCAAATACCATTTGGGAAAGTACCAAAATTCCAAAAGGAAAGAAGAGGGCTCCTTGGAAAATGGCGACTTAAGGTGAGAGACAGGAAATGAACAAGATGAGCTTGGAACATCTCGTGGTGGCAGACAACAGGCAAATGATCAAAGATGACTGGGTCATAGCAAAAGGACACAGGAGCCAGCTGGAAGAGGCTCTTCCACACCCAACATGGAGGCATTTGAGCATCACTGAGAGTGCAACTTAAATGAACTGAAACGCATTAAACATCACACACACAAACACACACCCCTGCATCTAAATTCATCAGCTACCATGGCAGAATGCTGGGGAAACCGATTCATTATTATTATTATTTCTGAGACAGAGTTTCTCTCTTGTCACCTGGGCTGGAGTGCAGTGGCGCAATCTCGGCTCACTGCAACCTCCGCCTCTTGGGTTCAGGCAATTGTCCTGCTTCAGCCTCCCGAGTAGCTAGGATTTCAGGCACGCGCCACCCTGCCCGGCTAATTTTTGCATTTTTAGTGACCTCAAGTGATCTGCCTGCCTCGGCCTCTCACAGTGCTGAGATTACAGGCTTGAACCACCCTGCCTGGCCTCAATTCATTATCATGAAAACCAAGAAAGAGAAGGAAGCATTTATCCTGCATTTCTTTTCTTTTCCCTTTTTTTTTTTTTTTTGGAGGAGTCTTGCTCTGTCACTCAGGCTGGAGTGCAGTGGTACGATCTTGGCTCACTGCAACCTCTGCCTCCCAGGTTCAAGCAATTCTCCTGACTCAGCCTCCTGAGTAGCTGGGAGTACAGGCGCACACCACCAAGCCTGGCTAAGTTTTTGTATTTTAATTGAGATGGCCGTGTTGCCTAGGCTGGTCTGAAACTCCTGAGCTCAGGCAATCCGCCCACCTTGGCCTCCCAAAGTGCTAGGATTACAGGCGTGAGCCAAAACGCCCGGCCTGCTGTGTTTCTTTACTGTATCATTGGGTACTAAATAGTAGCTGAAGGAAAGTCTTTATTTTTTTCTTTTTTTTTTTTTTTTTTTGAGACGGAAGCTGAGGCAGGAACAATTGCTGAGCCCTGGGAAGCGGAGGTTGCAGTGAACTGAAATCCCCCCGCCACCGTACTCCAATCTGGCGACAAGAGTGAGACCCTGTCTCAAAAAAAAAAAAAAATTTCCACTCTGAATAGTAAAGCACATCACAGGATAAAATTGTTAAAGTTACAATTGTTGTTGTTGGTTTTTTTGCTTTGTTGTTTTTGAGACCGAAGTCTCACCCATGCTGACGTACAGTGTTCAATCCTCAGCTCACTGTAAAAACCCCT